AGAAATAACATGCCTTCCAAAAATCAGACTAGTGTTATTTATTTTCATAGTTTGATTTCCAGATCCCTCAATATAATCCACAAACAGTTTCCATATGTTTCCAGATAAAATCACTCTTGTCCTGTGACGTACAAATTGTTCTCTTAAGAGATACAATCTGAGTAAGATTATACATCTGTTAACTGGCATTATAGAAGGTATGCTTAAAGACAAACTCCTATTCAGACTTGTCTTCTCAGGGCCTAACAACATATGACTGGTATATGTCTGGGAAAATGTATTTGAATCCTTGTGGGACATGGATGGAGGGATGGAAATTGTGCCTCGATAGAATTCAGAAGGCTATAAAAAATCCCACTTCAGTGTACTATGTTTTTTTGAGGGTATCAGAGTCTTTCTTTTCTTTCACCCAGCTCCAGGTAGTCTCATTGTGACATAACAGAATCTGCAAATTAAAAGACCCTAGGATCTTTCAGTGAAGTGTCAGTATTCCTCATTTTGTAGGTGAATAGTAACGGAGAGGTAGCCATGTTAGTCTGATAGTGGTAAAACAAAAAAAGCAGTCATGTAGCACTGTAAAGACTAACAAGATGGTTTATTAGGTGATGAGCTTTTGTGGGGCAGATCTGAAGAAATGGGTCTGCCGCACGAAAACTCATCACTTAATAAACCATCTTGTTAGTCTTTACAGTGCTAGATGACTGCTTTTTTTGTTTGTAGGTGAATAGCAGTATTAGTCACCACCTTGGCTTTTGTAAGCTGCACGGCAACCTTGCAAGATCTGGAGAGCCCTCAACTTCATAGGAGCTAAGCATATGTAATAGCTTGCAAAAAGGATTAATGCCATACAGGATCAGATCCTTAGTTGGCCAGAGTTTGAATCTCAGCTGACTGCTTGCTGCAACACCAGTTCCAAAGCTTGTCAATTTCCATTTCACTGGTTCCCACAAGAGGGCAATGTAATCCTTAAATTCAGTGGCTGTTACTGCATCAAAATACATGATAGGCTTTTAACATTTTGCTTCCTGGTACATCAGCATTTTCCATTTGTCTGTCTGCTCTAATCTACACATATTTACCAAGATATTTTTAAAAAGTTAGTAAGTGAAATGCTGTGGGTATAAGCACACAGCATTAATCACAGGGTAATTACAACACTAACAATCTACTGTGAAAAGGCTCTGGGGAGGGGGGTCGTCATGTTACTCTAGCTTTAAAAACAGCAAAGTGGGTTTTACCCATGAAAGCTCATGCTATATATTTGTTAGTCTGTAAGGTGCCACAGGACTGCTTGTTGTTTTTTCTCTATTGTGAGTTTGCTTGTGTCACGTTACTGGATTTTGAGGGGAGCAACCAGATCACTGCTGTGCCTGGGGGGGAGGGTGTGTTTGCCCAAAAGGTTGGTACAAAGGTATCAAACAAAAGCTTATTTTCTACTGATTCTGTATATGCTCTTCATCAGGGCTTGACAAACGGCTGCGAAAACCACTCGCCAGCCCCGTACTGTGCATGCGCTAGACCCGCATTGCGTATGCGTGCACCGCCGATGAACGGGGTGCGTGGCTGAAATCTACTCGCCACAGGCGAGTAGATTCTATAGTTTGTCGAGCCCTGCTCTTCATATATCTGTATAATGTCTGTGTGTGGAGTTATGAATATGTATTCTGTATGGAGACTGGAAGTTTCTCTGTATGTGGCTGAGCAATAGGTGAGAAAAGCTCAGCCTATGGACATGCTAATTAGCAAGCCACCAGGAACAATAGGTGTCTTAAGTACTGGAGACCCACCTGGGAAGGAATCTAAGTGCCTGGCCACTTACTATGTGACTGTCTCCAGCTTGGAAGAAGCCAAGGAGGGATATAAAAGTGCCATGCAGCATGCTTCATTTTGGTATCCAGTTTTGCTCCTGACCCCAGAGGCAGCTTTGCAGGGAATCACGATCCAGAAAAAACTGTGAACCCATCCTGACATAGGATGTACACCAAAGACTTTTAACCGGCAATTATAACACCTCTGCTTGTGAGCCTGCATCGAGAACTGGGAGATTTGATGCATGTAATGTATGATACTTTAACAACCTGACTCTCATGCTTTTATTTCTTTTAGTAATAAACCTTTAGATTTTAGATTCCGAAGGACTAGCTCAGCGTGGGTAAGATCCAGAGTGCAAATTGATCAGGACCTGTGGCTGGTTTCTTAGGACCAGACAGAACTCGTTCAGGGAAGATGAGATTGGGTTCTAAAACCCCTCATCTGTGTGCTAGGCCCGAGGCTGTTTGGGGCACGAAGAAAGCTGGGGTGTCAGAGGGGTTTGCTTGTGAGGCTTCCGGCTGGCCAGGCTGGCAGCAGAAGTGCTCTGAAGGACTGGCTTGTGGCCTGTTTGGGAAGGTCTCCAATCTGGGGCTGTACAGAACCCCTAGTTTGAGCAATTCACCCTGAGCGGACACCCTCAGCTGTGCCCAGATCCGGCCCGGTCCGTCACAGCTTGTTCTGCTGAAAGCTTGTTACATATCACTAAATACCTTCCATTTATACAAATAAAAAAGATTAGTGGTTTAATAATAAACCTCAGAAAATAGCAATCAGGGCTGGTACTTCTTCCTTCAATCACAACAATCACTGAGTCTATTTAAAAAACCGCACTTGCTCAACTGTGTGCTTGTTCCTCCTAGAGAATGGTGGGGGTGGAGCAATATAGGAGCCAGCTAATGTTCAGTGGTACAGCTAGTCTCCAATGTTTGTTGATCTGTATCAGAATTTTGATACACAAACATGTAGTTTTGGCTGTGTAGTTGGCAAGGGTTTTGTTTTGCTTTGTTTTTGTGTAGCGTAGCTTTAAAAAACAAACCCAAATCAAACCATAGCAAAGCTAACGTCTCTATTTATTTGAGAGACATAGGCTGTCTCATGTGGAATCATTATGGTCTCGCCAGTGAACATACGCATCTCATTTAACAGCACCCCTTTCCCGAACACTTTTTGTTCTCTTTGGGGAAAAAAGTGAACATGGGCTGGGCAAAGTAACAGCAAAGGTTTGCCAAAATCCATCTGTCATTTTCCCATCTGATCTATATCATCAGCATCTTCAACTTCCTGTTTCTCCTTATGGTTCTAATGGCTTTTGGAAAGGGCTGCCTTCACTTTTGCTTCACCCAAAGGACAAAGAGATCCAGGACCTCCTGACTCTAGGCAGCTGTGCACAGCATGGTACAACACTCATGTAATGGTACTGCTGGAATGCTTAGGTAGGCAACTTGAGGAGCCACTGGATCAATCTTTGCTTTGTGCCAGCATTAAAATGGAGAGGGGGCATCAGATCAACATCACTCCAGAGCAGTGGATCAGCATCACTCTGGGAGACAGGTTGGTCCGGGTGACAAGCAATGGCTGTGGGATAGAATTTAGAGGATTGCCTAGCTAGTGTGAAAGGGCAATGTGCGCACATGACCATGTATGTGTACTGACTACACAGTGAACACACACTGGATTATAGAATACTAGAAGACTTACCCAACGTGGCTCAGGTCCTTAACACAATTAATTTTGTTTTTATTCATTTAAAGCACTACTCTGGGGTAGGGCTGAGGGTGAGGGGTTCTGTATGCAGTCCTTCCTGGGGAGAGAAAACAACCCCAGCCCCCTCTCAGCGCTGCAGCTTGGGGCCAAGTAAGAAGTGCCTCTCTATGGCTGCTGCAGTTCCAGTAAGCACAGCCCCGGGAGGGGTGCATGTCTCCCAACTGGAGCAGGTCCAGGCTCATCTGCCTGCTGTTCTCCCCAGCCAGGGTGAGGAATGCAGCAAACGCTGCACTTTCCCCTCATTCCCTGATGAAGGGGTACAGCCAGCAATGTTCCCATATGAATCAGGGCAGTGAGTTTCTGCCTCCCCTGCCCTCCCTAAAGGGCACCTGGGGGTGAGGTGTGAATCTCAGGGCTGAGGCAATCCCAATGGGGAGAGAGTGAGAAAGCCATCTCCCTTTCACCTGCCTGGTGATTCGATCTCTTTTCTATATGGTTTTATGAGAAGCAATCCCAGTCCAGGCACATCCCATTTTCCTGCCACAACCAAACCCTTCCCTTGCTTTAAGTTATAAGCAGAAGCTGTATAACAAATGTGGTGGTCCTAGCTCTTACTGTTTAGGAGGAGTCCTTGAACAGATAGACAGACAGGCACAACACAGACAGACAATCGCTCTCAAATACATGGCAGATGTATTACTTAAGCAGTTAGTTGGAATTGTTATGTGTATGCAGGGCATTTTAATGCACACAAACTGAAGTCAGTGCAGAGCAAAGGAGACAAATGGTGCTCTGCAAGAGTCCACGAGAGAAGACAGTGGAAGTGCAGGTCTTAGTACTTCATAGGAAGTGCTGAATATCTCCCAGGATCAAACCCTAAATGGCTTTCCCAAGGGAGGCCATGTCACATCCAGGGTCAGAAGCAGAATTTGCTGGCTTCTAGCCTTGTGGACAAACCTTGCTTTTCCCTAAAGGGGACCTGCTGTACAGGATAATACAGGGTATTAATTAAATTCACATTATGTTTTTTTACTCTCCAGTACAGAGGTATCAGTTCTTAAGATTCTTAAATTAAAAACACTTGAAACTAATTTATAAAAATAGTTTGTAAGTCTCACTGCATTTACACCAACTGAAGCAAAATTCAAACAGGAAGTGTTTTTTTCCCTCCCAAAACATGTATGGAATATGATAATCCATAAAACTGTAGGAGCATCGGTCTAAAACTTTGTATAGCAGAAATGGGATTTGCTGAATACTTTTGATGATGTCAGTATCTACCTGTTTAGATACGTTTTTGTTGTGTTGTTTAATGGGTGCTGTGTAGTTACCACATTTTCTGATGTTTACAGACTTGCTGTTGTTTATTTTCCTAGAAGGAAGATACTCTTAAAGTCTCCATTTGGGTAGCAGCTGTGTGATTGCAATTGGACCCCGAGGCATCACTAAGAACAATATTACATCATAAATGGTATGGGCCTGATTTTAATTTATGCTGGGCACTTTTTACACTGCCACAGCACTACCCTTTACACTTCTGGAATAGTCATTTTCACCCACATAAAGCTCACAGATGTTAGATCAGTGCTTCTCAATCTTTTGGGGCTCACAACCCATTTGTAAACACAATGGATACTTAATTTCAATAGCTTCATTAACAGCTTTGACTCAAAAGAAGGTTCATACAATAAATCATTCCACTGGTTGCGGAAAGGAGCAGTTTTACTGTTCTAGGTTCAATACTTCTTCTTAAATGCTGCCATGTCACATAGTTCAGAGCCGGTGCCCTGAAGGATTAAAGTCTCACAGTGGTGCCATCAGGCATTGCTGCCCTGGACCAAAGAGGAGCAAGTAGGTTTGCCAAAGAATCTCACTTTCCATCTCTTTTAACAGGTAGCATTACTGTGCCCTCTGTGAATCACCTGCCACTCTCTCAGCGCTCTAGTTTTCTGCTAAGCCTCCTCCCGTCCTGGCCCCAGCAGGAAAAAGTGTGGGGACAGTGTAGGTGGGAGGGGGACGGGAAGGGACAAGAGGGCTCATAGCTAGAACCCTGGTAGTCTTGGCTAAGTCTTAGCTGCCAGAGATTTGTTTGAGGACTATAGTCAATTGGCATGGCAAGAGCAGCCCCTAAGCCCTGTATGCCACCCCCAGACTGGGACTGCACTTCTTTCTCTTGCACTGAATGGATCTCAGTGCAGGAGCAAATCATGTCCATAACCTGCTAAAGTGTAATTGTGCCATTTTTAACCAGCTCATACTCCAGAAGTGTCCATTTCTCTACCCTTATGGTGTTTGGCCACAAACCAGTATCAACAAACTTCTTGTCATGATTTTAGTCTTCCCTTCCTCGGAACAGCAACTGTCAGAATATGTGCTCAGGGCGAACCAGTCCTCCACAGTCCTTAGATTTGTATTGAGCCTCTGTTGAGCTGTGCGGCATCAACTGGTATTATATTGGCCTCAAAGGTCAAAAGAGTTAAAGCTATAAACATCACCCAGCCCCTGTCCAGCAATGAACATAGTTAGATAAGGTGTGTGTGGAGGGGGGGAGGGGAGGGAATTGGTATGCAGAGGCCTTGGCCTGCTCAGCACAAACTGACCATTAAATGTCTTTTAAACCTTTTGTGAAAAATCCAGGAAAGGACAACCAGGACATTTGAAATGCAAAGTGCAGAGTAAGGTTTTCATTTTCACATCTCTTGTTTCCTCTGTGGCAGGGAAACCTCATCTGCCTGACAATCTCCTAGAAGGCACTGAAGCTGGTATTAACTGTCCTTTTGGGGAAAAGAGATGACATTAGCAAGGATGAGCTCAAGCTGTTGTTGTGGCTGCTGTTGCTAGAGTCTGGTCCCATTTCACCATTGGCATTCAGCGGGAGCTGGTAAAAGTGGTGATGTCACCTGGCTCCCTTTCTCTGGTCTGGCCAGGACATTACTCAGGATTAATGGAGGTTCAGGCTCCCAGGAAATGATGGAAGTGGCAGTTGGGATGGTGACTCTTACTTCTGTATCCACCCTTCGTTCTTTCCTTGTATTCCCCTCTGCTTCCGCCCCCCTCCCAAACTCTATTCTTAATTCTTTAGGGATCCCAAAAGAGAGTAAGAGGTGGAATAGCCCATCCCCTCATTATTTTGACCACAAGTTAGATCCAACATCGAACACCCCACTAATTTATGATGTAAGACCTTCAATTTTTACCAAGCATACTTCTTGAATTATATCATTGTGGCCTTTTTTGTTAGGACTCCTTGCGTTTCTGTCTAGTTCTCTTGCACCTGTTTATAATATTCATTCATGAAAGCAAATTGAACTATTTTCACAGATTCTGTAATTATAGTTTATTGTATCATCTTACAAACTTTTGCATACTTTTTACAGTTGAGCTCACAAAGTAAATTTGCAGGTCCACATATCAAAATAGTGACCATCCAAATGAAAGAACGCAATATTGATCTAAAAGGGGCTCAGAGTTGTGTGTGTATATGTTTTGTTTTTGCTTTTTAAAAAATTATATTATTATTATTTATTTATTTTGCTGTTTCTGCTATACTCTTTCAGGTACATAGAATTACGGAACGGGAAGGAACCTTGACAGGCCATCAAATCCAGTCCCCTGCACTCATGGCAGGACAAAGCACCATCTAGACTATCCCTAACAGGTGTTTGTCTAACCTGCTCTAAAAAATCTCCACAACCTTCCTAGGCAATTTATTCCAGTGTTTAACCCCCCTGACAGCTAGGAAGTTTTCCTAATTTCCAGCCTTAACTTTCCTTTCTGCAGTTTAAGCCCTTTGCTGCTTGTCCTATATTTAGAAGTTAAGGAGAATAATTTTTCTCTCTCTTCCTTGTAACAACCTTTTAGATAATTGAAAGTTGCTATCTCAGTCTTCTCTTTTCCAAACTAAACAAACCCAATTTTTCCTCATAGGTCATGTTTTTCGGACCTTTATTTTTGTTGCTCTTCTCTGGACCTTCTCCAATTTGTCCACAACTTTACTGAAATGTGGTGCCCAAAACTGGACACAATACACCTACCTGTTGAGGCCTAATAAGTGCAGAGTAAAGCAGAAAAATGTCTTGCTCACGACAGTCCTGTTAATGCATCTCAGAATGATGTTTATTTTCTTCTACAACAGTGTCACACGGTTGACTCATATTTAGCTTGTGGTCCATTATGACATCTAGATCCTTTTCTGCAGTACTAATTTCTAAATAGTCATTTTCCATTTTATATGTGTGCAATTGATTGTTCCTCCCCAAGTAGAGCACTTTGCATTTGTCCTTGTTACATTTCATCCTGTTTACCTCCAACCATTTGTCTAGTTTTTCTAGATTATTTTGAATTCTAACACTACTCTCCTAAGCACTTGCAACCCCACCCGTACTTTATACAGCCTCTTCCTGACTTACGAACTGGTTACGGACCAAGCAGTTGGTCGTAACTCGGTTCGTTTGTAAGTCGGACCCCATAGAGTTACACCCGACTGTGCTGTTCGTAAGCGCGGATCACGTTCGTAATTCGGGGTCCGCCATTTACGACAGCTTCAGTCGTAACTGCGAACGGTCGTAAGTTGACCGTTCGCAACTCAGGGACCAGCTATAAGTGTACTCTCTATGCCATTATCTAAAAGGTGGGTGCATAGTTTGGGCAGGCTGAGTGAAAACATGCCTGCAGGGTATGGGTAGGTACTCGATCACATACCCCATATGACTAGTGAAAACATGCCTGCAGGGTATGGGTACGTACTCAATCACATACCCCATATGAGACTCTACTTGCCCAAGCCATGCTTCCCTGTCTGCCCTGATATTTTTAGCAGTGCAATGTCTGCTGCTTCCTTGCTGCAGGGAAAGACGCCAGAGCCAGGAAAGGGTCCAGCAACTCATTCCACCTAGAGCCCTTCCCCTGCTGCGCCAGTGGCCCCCTAGTGCCAGAGCTTTTCCTTGCTATAGTGAAAGACTCTGGTCGGGGGAGCTGTTGAAGTCTTTCCCAGCTATCCCCTCTGTCGGTGCCTTTTACAGCTGTAGGTACACAGCACAATGTGGACTTGGTGTGCTTTCCACCAAGGTGTGTATCTACACTGCATGTCACTTCCAGGAGTGTGTAGTCGGGGTTGCTGGCTCTGGGCATCCACAGAAGGGAAGGGGCTAAAAGCAGCCAGGCCTCAGTACTGCCTGGATTACACTGTGCCTCCCGCACCCAGCCCTTAGTGCCACTCAGACCGTGCCACAGGGACTCCAGGCCCCTTTAAATCATCAGCTCTGGAGCAACTGCCCCCTTTGCTTCCCTCCATAGTCAACCCTGTCTACAGTGAAGATGTAGCCTCAGTGATGAAAACCAGGATGAATTGACTAGGAATCAGTGGGCACGACACCTTTATAAAACTGGTGTGAGATTAGAATTGGACCCCCTCTATATGTCTGTGTGTGTGCAAATCAAATTAAATAATCTGTTGCAACTGTCATCTACATCTGAGTTCATTTCCTGGTGCTCTGCACAGTTTAAGTGTTTCGCGTTGTGTGGACTCTGTGTGTGTGCAAATCAAATTAAATACATCCGTTGCAACTGTCATCTATATCTGAGTTCATTTCCTGGTGCTTTGCACAGTTTAAGTGTTTCCCGTTGTGTGGAATTATACCGTGCAATTCATTGCTATTGGAGGTGGGGGAGGTCAAGAATTTAGGAAGAATGGAGATGAGGCTAAACATTTATACTGATAGAATATCCAATGTTACAAAAGTTAATAGTGAAAAAACTTTGGAAGGGATATAAACCCTTATGCTTCAGGGTTTGAGGCAATTTCTATCTATTGTGGGTTAAAATGAGGGCAGATGGGGGCAGATGCTATAGCAGTTTTGCATGTTCCTCTGAAACATCTAGAACTGGCTACAATTGAAGACAGGATACTTGCTTAAATGGACCTTGGGTCTGATCTAAGATGGCAATACCTATCTCAAGTATGATTACTACAACATGTCATTTATATGGATGCCTTGGATATCAAGTTTCTCTCCTTTGCTTTCTCTGAGATGGCAGCATTTGGAGATGCATGTCTCAGAGAGGAGTCAACCATGCTACTCTACCATTCAATGGATATTTTTACAAGAGTTCTATAGCACTAAGATAAAAAGGAGTGGCTAGTAAATCATTCTACTTACTACGATAAGGAGGTATTAAGGAACAAGCACAGTCGTCCTTTGTGAATGTTGCCAAGTGCCCCATCTGGACCTCTGTCTGGATGAGAACCCTGCTGTAAGCTCTGTGTCTACACTTCTCTGGAGCCAAGGAGCCCACCATAAGCATTAGAAAATCTCTTCCCATTCTTCCTTCTAGGAAAGGGTCTCGCTCTTGCTGTGTAGTGAGCAGTCACCTATTGAAAGGCCTCAGAACCTGATATGGTGCATGCTGATAACAGAGACTATTCTGCCGAGGCCAAGTCTGAGGTAAGAATGTTTATCAGTGAGTAATTCAAGGTGCTTCTAGGTTTCAGGGATTCCTTGCTAGGAATGTCACTATTAGTTGGAACAAATGATATAACAGTAGGAAATGCCTATATCAATCTGCAAAAGGCACTTGGGGCCCAATCCTGCAAGGTGCTGAGCACCTTAGGAGAGGTTTTTTCATTGTGTGCACACCCAACACAACAGGAGTCTGGTCTCTGATTCGTGTCTGTAGGGGCCACTGAACTGCTAATGGTAACTGTATCCCATTTAGAACAGATTAATTGTATTTAACAGATCTGATCAACAGCATTAAAAAAATGCGTGTATGACAGAATTTATAAGCATAAAATGCAGCCAGTAAATGGCTGACTTCACACACACAGTCATTTTCATCATCTGGGCTGAACGCACTTGCTAAATATAGCGTGTATATACAAAAGCGATGTCATGACCTTTATTATAGGCAACCAACTGCCACCCATCTTTCTCATACACTTTATAAAAGCAATGAGCTCATCCCATTGTGCTGGCTCATAGCTCTGCAGACTGTGTGGCACTCGAAATGGTTCCCTGCAGGGAAGCACTATTAGGCTGTGAATATAGTTTTAAGTTACTCTTTGACTTGAACACATGCCTCAGGCACTTTCTTCTCACAATTGCACTTGGACTTAAGTAGATCTTGTTTTGTGGCTCAACTGGAATGGAAAGCCATGTGTCTATAAGGGAGAGGCAGCCAGGATAGCTCATAGGATGTGGTGGTACTTGGGGGGGGAGGGGGAGAGTGTCAAAACATCCTGGTTTTGTTTCTGACACCAACTTGCTGTGTGACCTTGAACCAAATCATTTCCCAAAGTACAATGGAGATGATTTCCAATCTCAGTAAAATGCGTAGAGATCAATGGGTACTAAGTGATGTTATCAATGAGACCAAGAGTGATAGGTAGTGTCCAGGAGGGATGAAGTACAGGGAAGGTGTCACCTCTCTAGATCTTTATAGACATATATCTTCCTTGTTATCAATACCTTGGGCCCTCACTTATTCTAAGTGACTTTAGCATAGCAATAAGAGAGCATCAGTTTTACAAAGAAAACAACAGAACAACATTAAAATACAGCATCAAGGTTTTCAAAATGCCCCTCTGCACTGAAACAACCCTGGGGAGCTATTTGGTTCAACTGAAACCATCCCAATCCCCCCCCCCAAAACCTACCTTCTACAGGCCTTTCAGAGGCAAGTCTGGAAGGATTTACTTGTCCTCTTTCCTGCAAGCCTGAGGGGGGAGTCTGCCTTCTCTCCAGGACTATGAGGATGACTGTGGGGAGTAACCTGGCCTCACCTTCCACAAAGAACATGGGTGAAGGCCACTTTCAGGGAGAAGTGTCACTCCTCACTAGGCTAGAGGCCAGGCAGAGCAGCTGCAATACCTGCTAGCTCTCCTACATTGCCTGTGTGAGCCAAGTGAGAGCTAACCTCTACATTGACTCTCTCCTAGTTCTGCTTTAGGGACTCCTCATCAAGATCTGTTCTCCTGCTCCCCCAGACCGAGTGGGAGGTGAAACTGTTGAGTGTTCAGAACTGTGAACAGACAGATACAGGGGAAAGGGGTGTGGGGCAGAACATGGAAATCCAAACTGGTAGATAGTATGGACTGATACATCTAGCAAAGAACTGCTATAGGTAAGGTACTAATGTCATACAATGTGATAATTGGGGGAAGTAGACAGAAATTTCTCTATGGCCATGTCATATGGTAAGCAGGCTTCTTCCATACAAGGAATAGGAAATTCCATGATTTACACTAGGGGGCTGGATTCTCTAATCAGCTTTGACCACTTTGCATGCCATAAGCAGCCTTAAATTGGCTGGCAATATCATGCAATCACATGCATCTGACGAAGTGGGTCTTTGCCCACGAAAGCTTATGCTCCTACACTTCAGTTAGTCTATAAGGTGCCACAGGACTCCTCGTCAATATCATGCAAGGAATTCCTCTTGAGCAGAAGAAGAAAGGTTGTTCACCACTGCTTTAAATCATGATTTGAGGACTTCAGTAATTCAGCCAGAGGTTATGGATCTATTACAGGTCCTGTGGCTTGCATTGTGCAGGAGGTAGGATAGAAGATCGCAATGGTCCTTTCTGGCCTTAAAGCCTGAGTTTGTTGTTCTCTCTCCAGATATTATTGATATCCATGCACAAGCATTGCGTTTATATAGATTTGATTTAACGTATGTGGGAAGACACAAGCTATCCCCTTCCTCTTGTAGTATTTACAGCCAAAGCAACTTCCCCTTTCCATCTTTTCCTGCTAAAATAATAGCTTTGTGAATGCACAGCACTTCGTTTTTCATCTCACCTACAAATTGCATTGGTAGTTTTGTTCTTTGTTATTATAACCTTTAGGATACAGATCTGTGACAGATCATCTGTAAAGAGGTATAAAAGTCTATAAAGAATAAATCTGCAAAAGACACAATAGTTTACAACGTATCATCATATCTTTCAGTATTACCATTGTCTCTTGCTTCCTGTCTCCGTGTAAAGACAAAGAGGTATTTGTCTTTCCTCCGCTCTCTTTTCATTCTACCTCTCACCATAATCGGATGAATTTTTAAAAACAATACTAACATCAGTGTTATTTTAAAGCTGACATGCTGTCATCTCTTTGAAATGAGCATTAGCAGAGGAAAGAAAAGGTTTGCTCCAAGGATGCTGCTAAAATAAAGTAGAATGTGAAGCAATCAGACGATGAGTCTTGATAGGCGTAGCTGATTGTGTCCCTTAGCCTTTCTAATCTTGTCCATACATGTTTGTGCTATTCTTTTGTCCAACCTGCCTCCCCTAGGTCAGGTCAGCCAAAAGGCAGGCATCCCCGGGGCAGGAGGGATAAGGGGCGCCCGGATGATAAGGTGCTAGGGCAGGTTCCTGCATGGCCTAGGGGATAGGGTGCTTGCCTGGGGAGGATAGGGTTGGGGGCTCAAGTCCAGCCTCCCCTGGGTCCAGTCAGGATGGCATAGGAGGGATAAGGGTGCTCTGACAGCAAGGTGCCATCTTTAGCAACTTGCCTGTATTTTTCCTTTTTGTAGGATTTATTTTTGATATTTAGGTCACTGAAGAACTCCTGATAGCCATATTGGCCTTTTACTGTTCTTCCTGGGGCTGGGGATGAGGGGTTCAGTATGCAGGCTGCTTGGGGGAGAGAGGATAATCAGAGCCCTCTCTCAGGGCAGCAGCATGAGGCCAAGTGAAAAGCACCTCTCCAGGGCTGCTGCAGATCCAGTGGGCACAGCCAGGGGAGAGGTACATGTCTCCAGGCTAGGACAAGTCCAGATTTGTCTGTCCCCTGTGTTTCCCAGCCAGAGTGATGAGTGTAGCAAACTGCCAGCAATGCTCCTGTACAAATCGGGAAGAGAGGAGAATTCAGCTCACCCCACAAAGGGCATGTGGAGGGTGGGAGGCAGTCCCAGATGAGGGGGGCATGCCCCAAGCCAGCCCCTTTCACCTGCCTGGTGGTTCTGTCTCTTTTCTATATGGTTTTATGAGAAGCAACCCCATTCCAGGCATATCCAATTTTCCTGGTACTGCCTGCCTTGCTTTAAATCAGTGGTCTCCAACCTTTTTACACCCAAGATCACTTTTTAAGTCTCAGAACAGGCGAAGATCTACTGCCCCGCCCCTTCCTTGAAGCCCCGCCTACATTACCTGAGGAAATCTAATGTAAATGTACTGCGCAGGTGCACAGTTCAGAGAGGGCTCAAGAGCTACTCTTAGAGCCCCTGAGATCTACCAGTAGATCGCGATCTACTGGTTGGTGACCACGGCTTTAAATTATGATAAGAGGAGGCTGTATACCAAGTTTGGTGGTCCTAGCTCTTGCCGTTTAGGATGCGTTCTTGAATAGAGAGACAGACCGACTCATGCACAAACTCTCTCAAATATATAGTAGATTGGTTCTAGAAATGCCTCATCCTCACCCAGCGATTTGTAGTAAACTCCTACAACATCAACCCTGTTTTCCCCATTTTATCTTCTCCCAGAGACTGTCAGCTTGTCTGCCTTGCTCCTCTTCCTTGACATCAGAACAAGTATATATGTTCCTGATGTAAAATGCAAGACTCTATTGGCAGCTTCCCCTGCTTAGATCTCTCTCTCAACCCATGCCAGCATTTTCACTTCTCTGCTTTCTCCCACTCTCCCTTCCTTGTTTCCATCCATTCACGACCTCTGTTTGGCTTCAAATCCATGGGCTGTTGGCCAGCTCTACTTCCTCTACCTTGCCACTCGGGCACCAAGTACTCCTCCTGAGGTAAGCGGGGGGGAAAGGGGCGGGGGGAATTCTGCATTGAGGGAACCCATCTCCAAAGACCCAAACTGAACTGAAAACTCAGAGGCTGTGTCTAGACTGGCCAGTTTTTCCGGAAAATCAGCCGCTTTTCCGGAAAAACTTGCCAACTGTCTACACTGGTTGCTTGAATTTCCGCAAGAACACTGACTTCCTATTGTCTGAAATCAGTGCTTCTTGCGGAAATACTATGCTGCTCCCGTTTGGGCAAAAGTCCTTTCGCACAAAGCTTTTGTGCAAAAGGGCCAGTGTAGACAGCTCAGATTTCTTTTGCCCAAAAAAGCCCCGATCGTGAAAATGGTGATCAGGGCTTTTTTGCGCAAAAGTACGTCTAAATTGGCACGGATGCTTTTCCGCAAAAAGTGCTTTTGTGGAAAAGCATCCGTGCCAATCTAGACGCTCTTTTTCCGCAAATGCTTTTAACGGAAAACTTTTCCGTTAAAAGCATTTGTGGAAAATCATGCCAGTCTAGACGTAGCCAGACTGTTCTGAATGACATCCTCTGATTTCACCTCCTATCTATACTTTCTCTTGATGCCACCAGCTCCTCTGTGCTTCTGCTGTCCTGAAAGAGCGAGAGACTGCACAGCCTATCTTGGACTTAGAACGTATTCCATGATGTTGCACCACGAGAAAAGGGGATGAGAGCTTTATATCTT